AGAGAGAGAGAGAGAGAGAGAGAGAGAGAGAGAGAGAGAGAGAAAGCTTTGTGAAGCCACATCACACAATTATATTATCAAAACAGGAGATGGGTATAGATCTTGTGGTAGACCAAAAACCAAGTACAATGATAACATCAGAAACACTCAACAACAGCACGATGTGTTTCTGCAGCCAGAAAAGCAAGAAGCAGAACCTTGTATGTCCCTTGGCATCTGAAGCGGTAAAAAGCAAAGAAGAAGAAGAAGAAGAAGAAGAAGAAGAAGAAGAAGAAGAAGAAGAAGAAGAAGAAGAAGAAGAAGAAGAAGAAGAAGAAGAAGAAGAAGAAGAAGAAGAAGAAGAAGAAGAAGAAGAAGAAGAAGAAGAAGAAGAAGAAGAAGAAGAAGAAGAAGAAGAAGAAGAAGAAGAAGAAGAAGAAGAAGAAGAAGAAGAAGAAGAAGAAGAAGAAGAAGAAGAAGAAGAAGAAGAAGAAGAAGAAGAAGAAGAAGAAGAAGAAGAAGAAGAAGAAGAAGAAGAAGAAGAAGAAGAAGAAGAAGAAGAAGAAGAAGAAGAAGAAGAAGAAGAAGAAGAAGAAGAAGAAGAAGAAGAAGAAGAAAAAGAAGGAGAAGAAGCAGAAGAAGAAGAAGAAGAAGAAGAAGAAGAAGAAGAAGAAGAAGAAGAAGAAGAAGAAGAAGAAGAAGAAGAAGAAGAAGAAGAAGAAGAAGAAGAAGAAGAAGAAGAAGAAGAAGAAGAAAAAGAAGAAGAAGAACAAGAAGTAGGAGAAAAAGAAATAGATGAAGAAAAAGAATAATAATAATAATAATAATAATAAAATATTAATAATAATAATAATAATAATAATAATAATAATAATAATAATAATAATAATAATAATAATAATAATAATAATAAGAAGAAGAAGAAGAAGAAGAAGTACACTCACACAAATAAATTGTATAATACACACATATTTTTAGTCATATTAAAATTGTATATGACCATATCAATATCTTCATTATTATAATTAGCAGCCCAGGTAAAATTATGTTAAAGTGTGTATTATCATAACTTACATTATCAAACAATACATAATAATAAATAATAAAGCCTCGATTTATTATATGCCACACATAATCATAATATATTAGATAAAATCCTTTTTGTCCTTACTACTCTCGAACTATAGCTTGGCATATTATACATCACTGTTGATCGCATTACATGCATTATGGAAATCACATATTGTAAAAGTAAATGCAGATATAATTTAATATCAATATGCAGGATATCACGTTATTCGTTATAATACATCAGTTATAGTCATATGGTATGTCAAATGATAACATTCTTACACCTGATATTATATCAGAGACAGAACACCATATCCTTTTAATGTGTAAGAGTTATGAGTTGGATAATCTTCACAGAACTCCGTACACATCTATCTGTGCAATGATTCCCCCTACAATACATTGATCAGCATTGCACAGGTAATTAATGTTAACTAATGCGGCTAATCAGCGTATATAATACTAGAAGCAATGAACCAGGCTGATATAGTGAATGAACGTCATTCAAGGTAGTCAAGAATAATTACTGGAATTTTAAACTGATATTTCAAATGAAGTATTCAATGTATATACACGTGTGTTATTTTAAAATGTTCTGAAAAATTTAGTTTCGTGTGGCCTTGTTTGATCATAAAGCTTCAAATAGCACTGGGAAGATAAAGAACATTCATCATCTTGAAGAGAGGGTTGCTGGACTCGCTGCAGCAATTACATCGGTAATTCTAAACAGGATTCAGAATACGTGGCAGGATGTTGAATACCATCTAAACATCTGCAGAGACACAAATGACGTCCATGTCGTAGGGTTCTAAAGCAGGTCTAAAACATTTCTAAACTTTCGTAAGTAATTTAAGACGACACACGTGTATATGCGTTAAATACTGTACTTTTTTTTCTAAAAACAATTTAAAACCCCGACAATCATTCTTGATATTCCTGTAGAAATAAGACTATTAGGGGAATCAAGTCGTTACTGAAAATGTTTCATTGATTGTGACAAGGCAACAAAAAACAGCAACTCGATGCTCCATATTTTGAGAGTAGAAAAAAAAAAACCCCAGCCCCTCTAACAAACATGTCGTAGGAGGCGACGAATTAAGAGTGTTCCCTTCTGAGTGCATCTACCTTAGAGGCAAGGAAAAAGCAACTTGCATACAAAAAAGCCAGATCTGTAAAATGGAGAGAAAGAGAGAGAGGTAGAGAGTGACCGAACTGTATAGGATAAATCCACTGCAATAAAGTGGATACTCTCCCTGTAACAAATGATTATGCATATCGTTTAGAAATTGTTGCAGTGTGCAATGTTTTGTGCACTTTGTTTCCCTTGCCCCCTTTTCGTATAGCTTTTCTCAGTCACAGTTCTTTGGATTCATTTTGGATTCTTTAGGAGATGTAAACCAGTCCCAACATTTTTGGCTGTTTGTGGTTTTACAAATCACATTTACGATCGGTAGTTTGTTATTGCTCTTTGAACGTTCAACTCTCATTATTATTTTCAGAATAAACGTAAAGTGGTCTGCTGTCAGCGGGATTCGAACCGGTTATCATGGAAGTACTAACCGAATTCGCAACCGCTATACCATATCAGACGCCGCCTGAGACTTCGTGAACTAGAATAGTAGAAATATGAAACTAAACGAGCCCAAGTAGAAAGGACTAACAACAGAAGAACTGGAAATGTTAAGTGACCATTCAGTACGATGCATAGAGTCATTAACAAACGTATAGTGAAAGTTGCTCGGTAAAAGTTAAAGTCAAGAGAATCGACTTAGTCTTTTCGTTATGATATTTTGCAGCTCCTTCAATGTCTTTCCATATGAAAGAATTATCACACACCTTACATTATACAGGTGCTGTTTGTTCACCGCCTTTGCAGCATTCAGTCAAAATCAGTGTGATCTTTACGACATCATTGGAACACACAGCCAAAGACCGTATGATTAGAGAGATATCATTTGAACATACAGACACTTACAGTAGGATTTACACAACATTAGCTTAACATCTAATTAAAGACAGTGTCACTTGTACAACTCAACTGAAACACACAACAAAAGACAGCGTTACTTCTACACTATTCTTAGAAAATCCAATCAAAGGCAGTGGGATTGTACAATATCCGTTCACTGTATATCCAAAGACAGCGTTATTTATACAATATAAATACACTCAGCCAAAACACTAGCAAAAGATTGAGTCAAGGACTGTCGGATCTACCAGTGTTATATATATATATATATATATATATATATATATATATATATATATATATATATATATATATATATATATATATATATATATATATATATATATATATATATATATATATATATATATATATATATATATATATATATATATATTGTTATCTGCGGCGTCCGTGGCTAAGGCGTTGCGAGTCCGACTCGTAAGCCAGCATACCGCGATCGAAACCCACTGCAGGCTGCGTGGATTTTTGTCGTGGTATGGGACGTCGCAGTCGACCCAGTCTAAAATGGGTACCGGGATGGGCTGTCCTGGGAAAGTAAAGACAGCCGGCGTAATGCCGACCACATTACCCACAGAGTGCTGATGGTCTGTAAAAATATGGGACGCTCTGCCCATATGCCCGATGCGCCGAAAGGCGTGAAAAGGGAACTTTACTTTACTTTACTTATATTGTTATCTGTGAAAGAGAAAATATGGCCGAGACGAAATATCCCTACGTGAGTTGATTTGTAAAACGTTTCTAACGGAGCACCAAGCAAACATCTCGACCACTTCGCCACAGGGATCCCTGATATAAATGATCACAATTACCTTAATGTTAACATAAACACGAATGATGTTCTGTTGAAGGATACAATTTATATATATATATATTAGTGAGCGGCCGAGGTTGTCTGCACACTAGACGCTACTATGTAAGTAAAGGTGGCAAGTGTTATGTTGACCACACCATCAACCAAGTGCGGGTTTGTCTATAAAGTTTTGGTCTAGCCCCCAATACCAAATACGCTTAAAACTGGAAATGGGTCCTTTACTCAACTATATATAGAATGCTAGTAAGTAAAGGACATTTTCCCACGCCTTTATGTGTATAGAGCATACTAGACCTATATTGTCTAGATAAATCAGCACAAGATGAGTAATGTGGTTAGCATCAAGCCGGCCGCCTTTACTTCCCGGAACAGCACCGGGTACCCATTCAAGCCTGTGTTGACCTGGAAAGGTTAGTTGCGTATCCTTTACAGGACGTTGCAGAACCAACCCCAACAGCCCCTGGCTGTTGTGTGGTTTGTCTAGGCAAATTTACGTCCAGTAGTTTGCTATTGCCTACTGGACGGTCGGCTTTCTTGGTAACACTGTCGAAACCATGGCCCGCAGCTGGGATCGAACCCAGCATTCCGGCATTACGAAGCGTTCGCATGGACTTAGCCACAGAGCCGACATGATGACCTGGGAGCCAAGGTCATTTTTAAAAAAGTCCGGCTCTTCCAGGGAGCGAACCCACGATCTTCCGATCGGCCACGGCGACTTCCGATCTATATATATATATATATATATATATATATATATATATATTATATATATATATATATATATATATATATATATATATATATATATATATATATATATATATATATATATATATAAGCCCATTTCGTCATGTCGGCTCTGTGGCTACGTCCATGCGAACGCTTTGTAATGCCGTAATATATAAACACAAAAAAGTACCACAGACACAAAACAATTCAGATGTATTACAATGAAATGCCGATTTCAACACACTGAATAAAAAGAAACAAATTGATAAAATATAATTTAAAAAAAAAAGAATGTTTAGATATTAAAAGAAATTGAGACAATAAATGTTTAAATATACACAGCATTTCATGCAAAATCTGAGTTTTTTTCTGTGATCACTGATTGTTACTTTATCTTACAAACTTGCGCTAGCTCATTTATAACGTAGGAGGGCTATGGTTGTCGACACCCATGTACTTCTTGCCATCAAACTGCCTGGTCCGTCCAGTATGTAGCGGAGAAGAGGCATCGTCTGTCAAATGAACATTCATGCTACCACCAATTGCTGAGGTGTAACTGGGTGTCCGTCTCAAAAGATGGGCTGGCGATGAACAAAGTGCGCCATCTTGTCCCATCAAAACACTGCTGCTCCGAGCACTATCATCGTTACTACTGAGGTCATCAAACCCCACGTACGTGTCCCCGCCAAAGTTACCACCCCCAAGAACGACCATGTCGAAGCTTCCTCTTCCACTCTCACCCCCAAGAAGAGGGGATTCTCCCAAAGGAGGAGGTGGCAGTAGAGGATCAGGAAAACTATCCGTAAAGGACGGCAGATCGTTATTGAACCCGTTCTTAGATTTAATATCAGTGGTGTCTCTCATATTGTAAATGCTGTTGTGGTATGAAGGCTCCGTGGTATTTTGATATTTCTTCCATTCAGGCAGAAGACTATTAGGTAAGGTTGCATCTGAAGTGTGAGGTCCGTTCTTACTGCTGCTCCCAACAAGACTCGGACATGCATGGCCTCGCCCTGTCCCATTCGCTTGCAAAGCAACGGCGTCTTGTCGTTGGATGGTGTGTAGTTCTTGCCCAGTGCCAGCAGTAGGCATTAGTTGTAGGATTTCTGTGTCATCACCGCTGCGAGAAGACAATATGGTTTATATTAATTTGCAAACATCAATTTCATAAACAATGAAATAATCTATTGTGATAAATGGAGCAGAAAGTATAGTAATTAGTGCTATTGCTAACAGTGATATTGGTCTAAATTCATTCCGTGACAGTCGTCTTCTTCCTTTGCTTATGCCATAAAGTATCACACAGAGACTTGATGAGATAAAAACAATGACAATGGTCTGTGTTTGTTTCATATTAAAATACAACAGTTTATATACATCAAAATATTAAGTTTATTAGGGTAGGGGTAACTGGATGATTATGTAAACTTTCGAGTTTGTATTTCTTTGTATGCATGAGAACAATTGGGTGGGAAAAAGGGGGGGGGGGGACATACGCTGTAAACTATCTATTTGGAGTGGAGATACCGTTTCTGTGAGAAAATGCAGAGCGTAGCATTGTCGGACAGAAAATAATAATAAAGTACACTAAAAAAGTTTAAAATTCTAAACAGATTCATGAAACTAAAAATTGAAGATATGTGGACATGCTTTGAAGAGAAATCCCCGCTGGTAACATATTATTCATGTTAACCAAGTGTTCGTCTCAAGCGATTTCGTACTGACGAGGGTTTACTGATAAACAGTTGAACTAATTGACCATGAGTCACCTCTAAAACGACAGTCAGAAGAGGAAAGTATAACCACAACCAGCCCCTGGTGTTGGAGCCGGTCGTAGCGTAACTGCCTAATAACATTGTCACCTAATTTGATTCTCCAGGTTGTCAATCTTCAGGAGGGCCATGTCTAGCTGATGCCGTAGCTTCCATATCTGAGTCTCACAGCGTGGATTCTTGCACTTATTCTTGGATTGCTCGTGCAGTGCTTCGTTGACGCAATCCTGGAACTCCAGAGATTTCCCCACACTCTGTGGAAGATAAAAATATTTTATTAACTCATCAAAACAGTCCTTAAACTGCAGAGACTTCCACTCTCTTTGAAAAAAGCAAATGTGGTCAAGGCCCTTTGGGAACAGTCAACGGAATCAGTAGAGAAAGAAGATTATTATGGCCTGGAGAGAATGAGGCATCTGTGTGTAACAAGAGGGACTGGCCGGTTCACTACACTCAAAGGAAATGCAAGACGGACATATAACCAGATTGTGACTGGTACCATCAGTATTTAACATTGCTAGTAAACACAAAACCACCGAATAAAATACCGGGGTTAATTCTTAAATAAGTGTCTTGTGTTTGGATTGGGATCTTTGTTATTTTGTCAACGCCAGGATCTTCCTGTAAGCGGCGTCCGTGGCTAAGGCGTTGCGAGTCCGACTCGTAAGCCAGCATACCGCGATCGAAACCCACTGCAGGCTGCGTGGATTTTTATCGTGGTATGGGACGTCGCAGGTCGACCCAGCTAAAATGGGTACCAGGATGGGCTGTCCTGGGAAAGTAAAGACAGCCGTCGTAATGCTGACCACATTACCCACAGAGTGCTGATGGTCTGTAAAAATATGGGACGCTCTGCCCATATGCCCGATGCGCCGAAGGGCGTGAAAAGGGAACTTTACTTTTTTTTTTTACTTAGGATCTTCCTGTACTTCATAAATAGGAACTTGACAGTTCTTGATTGATTGCAGTCAGAGCATTTTCAAAAGCATTAGTCCTAATGGATAGACCCCATGCACGCGCGTGTGTGTGTATGTTTGTGTTTGTTCTTTAATAGAAATGATTTCTGCTAATGTGCTTATATTTAATAACTTATGGAGCGGTCCTTTCTCTTGCATTAATATATTCTGGCCTGTAGGTGTGCTGTTTTTTGTTTTTTGTTTTTTTTGTGTGTGACAAGTTCATAAATTTATACACCTAATTATATCCTCAGTCTTTTCTTTCGAATTCATTGCCTACCTTATTTCTCTGTTTAAATTTACTATCGCTACATTTGCTTTACGACTGAGCCGGCTTTTCTTTTCATGTCGTCAGTTTAGAACAGATTGCACTAAATTATTGTTTAGAAAAAAAGACATCAGAATTTCATTAAATAATCAGCTTTGATAAGGATTTTGAGTTTCTCTTGCTGTTGATATTTCCTCGTCAAATGTCGGTGATAAAATCATATCTTATTGCTGCAACAGGTGCTGCTACTATGACTACTACTAGTGCTAATACTACTACATCCTTTATGGTCACGATAAGTGCTGCTACCACTGCTCTTTCTACAACAACTGCTGCTACTTCCACTTCTATTGTAGTAGTAAGTAGCTGTAGCAGCAGCAGAGGTAATTAGTAGTAATATAAGTAGCAATAGCAGAAGCATCAGCAGGATTAGTAAAAAAGAAATGGTAGCATCCTTTACTAGCAGCAGCAACAGCAGTAACGTAGAATATGGTAATACATTAGTTCCTCCAGAGTGACTAAATATTTACAACTACACAACTCTCATGACACCGTACGCAATTATTTAAAATCTTTGACTGCTGAAGGAATTTATAGAAAACCCAACATAGTAGTAGTAGATGTAGTAGTATTAGGAGAAGAAGAAGTAGTAGTAGTTGTGGGAGTAGTAGTAGTGGTTGTTGTAGTAATAGTAGTAGTAGTAGTAGTAGTAATAGTAGTAGTAGTATTATTAGTAGTAGAAGAAGAAGTAGTAGTAGTAGTAGTAGTAGTATTAGTAGTAGAAGTAGTAGTAGTAGTAGTAGTAGTAATAGCAGTTGTAGTAGTAGTAGTAGTAGTAGTAGTAGTAGTAGTAGTAGTAGTAGTAGTAGTAATAGTAGTAGTAGTAGTAGTAGTAGTAGTAGTAGTAATAGTTGTTGTTGTTATTGTTGTTGTGGTTGTTGTTGTCGCAGCTTTGCTATTTTAAGGAGTAGCATCCGTAATAGTAGAAGTAGCAGAAACAGCAGCAGAAACAACAACATCACAACAGCTGCAGCAAATGTGCTAGTAACAAATGAGTACTCACCAAAGAGACCATGGCACAACAACCACACTTGTCCCATTTCTTGAGATATTTCCGCCCAAACTTGAAGTACATGTGTTCACAGAACAGAATCAGAATGCTCAGCAAGACCCCGGTACCCAGCAGGATGAAGGCAGAAGTGAAGTTGATGATCCCCAACGTCCGGTTAGAGATGCCGGGGTCTTTGTTCATGTTACAGGCTCCAGCCAGCCAGAACTTCTGAAGCCGGTCTAATTCACCTTGATGTAGAAAGTGTGTGTGTGTGTGTGTTTAATAATGAGGATGCTGATGAAGATGATGATGATGAGCATGATTATAAGGATGGCCATAATGATGGTGATAAATGATGGAAAATTGAAAGTGTTTTAAACTTTGAAGATCTAGCCTTCAGCCAACCAAAACTTCTGAAGTCGGTCTAATTTACCTAGATGTACCAAGTGTGTATAATAATAATAATAATAATAATAATAATAATAATAATAATAATAATAATAATAATAATAATAATAATAATAATAATAATGATAATAATAATAAATGATAAATGAACTGGAAAAATCACAAATTTATAATATACAGACTCTTTGAAACAGCATTGAAAACTTAAACAGAAGTCAAAAGGAGGAGGAATATAGCTATGGTTAAGCACAAACAAGGAAATTAAAAGTCCATATTTTTAGGGCATACATCTTAGATGTAGTAACATACCGATGTGAAACGTGGACTTTCTCGCAGTCATTAGGGAAGAAAATAGGAGCTTTTAAGTTTTCAGGATTGTATGGACCGCCAAGAAAAGAAATAATGACATCCTAAAAGATCTGAACACCTTGGAAAATTAGCCAGTAAGCAGAATAGTGTCGTGGAAACTAAAATATTTTTGTCACATCAAGCCCCACGGCAGATTAGAAAAAAAAAATAGCAGAAGGCATTGTACCAAGAAGGAGGAGCAGGGGCCGATCAGCACGAAGATGGGCACAGGATATAAGTGAGCGGGTGGGTAGGAAAGTACACGACGTGGAAGGATTGGCCAGAGATCGATTTTCTTTCAAGCAGACCGTGATAAGAGCAAGGGTCTACAAAAGACAGGCTTCACGAAAAATAAAAATAATAATAATAATAATAATAATAATAATGAAAAACAACATAAATGTCATCATTTTTCTGCTTTTTACTTTCTTACTTTCATCATCGTGTGAAGAAAGTGGTGCAGAGAGAGTGACCATGGGATTATGACCAATGCTCAGAGAAAAGGCTAAAAGAACTTGCCATTAAAAGAACTAGAAGGCTGCGCCTACTGCTGAAGTTGAGGACACAGTGATTATGGACATATTCACAGTTCTATGATTTTAGTTGTTAACACAACTTGGTACTTTCGTTTTTAGTTACCCAGTGACGTCACGATGACATCTCGGGACAGTCAAAACATTTCAAGGGTGGTAAGATGGGAGCTTTTCCATTGTGTTTTTAGCTAATGTTGGTTCGCTTTGCCAAGGTTGTCGTTGCCAAGGCTTTGTCTCCAGCGATTTGTCTTTGTAGCGTCCTGTTCCAGTCTTAATCGCTATGTAAAATTCAGTTGTATTTTTGGCTGCTATCAGCTCCGACACTGGGTCGAAGCTTTAACTTCTCCCCTGGGTCCTAGGTTTAACGTCTCCCTGGGCCCAAGGTTTAACGTCTCCCCTGGGTCCTAGGTCTAACGTCTCACCTAGGTCTTAGCCTTAACTTTTCCCATGGGCCCTAGGTTTATCTCCACCCCGCTTAGCCGTTTGGCTATATTTATGGACGGGCTATATTTAGGGCCCCCGGCGAAAGCCAGGGTGGGACTTCAAAAAAGAAACAATTGCATCCCACATGGGGACGGCCAGGTTAATTGCATTGGGACGACACATAACACAGTATTTATGAGGTAGAGGGTTTTAATGAGACTGCGCTGTGGCCAAAGCATCTATGGTTATCTAGTATCCGCCGAGGCAGATCGACATCTCTGGGACGCCATCTGTTGCTAGTAGAAATGGTACAGAGCAGATCATTCACTTGCCGGAAGAGTCTAAAAGGTTTCCAATGGTCGAGGACATAATGTAAAGCAATTTGGATATGGAAACAAGGGAAAGATACTACATTATTCTTCAAAGAAACTTATTTTGAAAACTAAAAACAGCATCTTGTCTCGGAAACAAATCACGCGCCACAGCAGACTAGGAGAAACAATAATAATAGCAGGAGGACTGGTGACAAGAAAGAGCGGTGTAAGGACCTACTAGCACAAAGGTGGGTATATGATTTTGATGACACTTTGAGTAGGAAAATTCACCAGGCAAGAAAAACTGGTGAGAGACCAAGCTTTTTTTCTTCTTTTTAGGTAGAGCTTGATGAGAGCGATATTGTGCAAAGGACTTGCTAGATGATGATGGCTGTTTATTTAAAGTTATATATATATATGTGTGTGTGTGTGTGTGTGTGTGTGTGTGTGTGTGACGCTACAGAATAATAATTACTACTGACCACTTTTCTGCAGCTTGAGAATGACTTTGTTAAACTTGTCAATCCACGGGTTATTAAAGTCGGGCTGGAACCCCACCCCGTAACCCGTCATTGCATACCGGTTGCCTACTGTGACCAGGCGGCACTGGGGGTCCCTCGAGGCGTAGTATTCCAACACTGATGAGTCATATATGAAAGCCTGGATGATTCTGGAAAGTAAGAGAAAGAAAGTTGAAAGCTGAATTAAGAATTGACATCCCATTACTCCAGGCATTTCCGTCATCGTATTTAGCAGCAAGCGCAAAGTTCTTCATTCATATGGCATCAGTTACTGTCTGATTGTACATCAATATGGCATCAGTTACTGTCTGATTGTACATCAATCTCGCCTTTCTATTGAGTGTCCAGCGTCGACCATATCCCCTGGTCATTATCCTCCTGCCGTGCCTCTACACTGTTCACTCACTCCCAAAGACCTCTACAACATCTAGGTTGCTATACATCAGTTCACCACCAAGTGGCGCAGAACCAGTAAGTCTATCTACGCCGACCCAGCCTGTTTATCTGTTTAAGAGACTAAGTGAAGAAAAATACCTAACTTCCAAACAATACAAACAATAATATCTCCTACTCCTACCTTCTCAGCACCATCTTAGTAGGCACTCCATTCTTCTCAGCATGGTAAAGTAAGGTTACATTTTTATTGATTTCGTCTGCTTGTATTTAAATTTTAGTATTAGACAGTAAATAAAAGAATTGCAACCACACCAGTATGTAATATGATTATCACAATAGGATTTTTATCATGGAAACTGATTAACCAGTTTCCCTTTACCTCACATGGTAATGTTCGTTTGGTATACTTTCTGTCTGGTATACGTCCAAGGATGTGAAACAGATTAAAGACTGAGTTATCACTATACATGTGATGGCTACAATGTTATTTATATCTGATATACCTGTATGTGGAAAATTGTCTCAAAGAAAGCAGGTCTTAATAGTCAAAGTTGTCATTACCATAGGCTGCGATCTCAGGCCTTCCCATAGTACAGTATAACACCGTTGCAGAACCAGCCCCAACAGCCCGTGGCTGTTATAGGGTATTTTTAGGCAAATTTACGTCCAGTAGTTTGCCATTGCTTTCTGGACAGTCGGCTTTCTTGATACCACTGTCGAAACCAACGCAAGGCGCATGGCCTGCAGCTGGGATCAACCCGGCACCCCGGCATTACGAAGCGTTCGCATCGACTTAGCCACAGAGCCGACCATACTCGTCTTATTAATATTATTATCATTATCATCATCATCATCAATGTTTATGCATTGCTTGGTGAACTACCATGGTATAGGGGCTAGACGCTCGCTTGCAGATCCAAAGTTCGTGGGTTCAGGTCCTAACGGAGCAGGCATTGTTTTTTCTTTCAAAAATGAACTTGGCTCCCATGTGGACCCAGCCTTAAATTGGTACCGGGTTAATCCTGGAAAGTAAAGACGGCCGGCGTGATGTTGACTACATCATCCACCTAGTCTCGATTGGTCTAAAAAATGTAGGTCTGTCCATATTTGCCGAACACGCTTGAAAGCTTGGGAAAGGGTCCTTTAGTTTACTGAGGTTTAACAAAGAATCAGCCATCACCTACCCTTGTTTGAGTGCTGCAATGCCAGCATCAACGTCCGGCAGGTTGTACGGCTTCATGTAGTTGTACATCTCTTTATGGTTGGCTCGAATGTTTGCTTCCGTGCTGCCGTTGGGGATTGTGGCGTACTTGAAAGGAGGCTTTTCAGTGTATGGATTCTGCAGCTAAATAAGACAATACACAGTGTCTGATGTGTAAACACAATACTGACCGACATTTCAAAAGGGGAAGCACAAATTAACATAATTAACTGCATAGTAGGCTAGAGAATTAGTAGTATCTTTTCTTATCAATATCGACATCACTGTATTCCGAAGAGCTTACTTCTACGATGCAGCAACCACTCTAGGGGGCTTCTATTGACTGTTCCCATGAGCATGTTGTTACAATGTCTCCTATTTTGACCTCAAGACGGCACTGACGTGAGCAACCAGGTTTCACTCCAAGATCGTGTAATCATGCTAGCGTCAGAGATTCGTTTCTATCCACCGGTTTAGTTCGTAGTGTTGATGATATCGGCTCTATCCATACGTCTTTCCGAATGAGCTTATTCGCTCTCTCATTACTTTTACTCCTGCTTGTCAAGGTGTGTAGATCTAGATGAAAGAATTTAATAGTTAATTTCAAATGCTGTCTACCCATTCAGACGGAAGGCTGTATATTGCGATTTTCTTAAGCATGATCATATAATCACCGCCATTGAGACTGATTGTTCTGCTGTCAAAACGAGTGATCTGGAAGTACCAATACTACATACAGCATCGCTTAATTTCAAGGGAAAAATTTGAGACATGAGTACATGACAACTTTTTCAGAGACTTTAACTGGCTATCTGCGATTTGTTTTGACAACCACAATGCGTTTGTGTGTGTGTGTGTGTGGGGGGGGGGGGGGGGGGGGAGTCACTGTGGTTTCAGGTAATTGGATAGCACCCGCAGAGAAAGAATTATTCATGATAATGATGCAGCTACTGTTATATTATCGCTAGTGACTGAAGATGAAAAGGAACTCCGCTGTACACTTACTGAATACCCATTGTACATAATTTTATACTTCTCGTTTCTGTAGTTCCATGCTGGATAAAGATGAAGTTACAAGCAATGTCAGGAAGGTTTTTATCCCATATGGCTCGCTCTCTCACGGCAGAAAAAATATCTGGATTGCTGAAAGATTTACAGAAGGCCCACAATCTGAATTCCGATTTTATAGCATTTTATATTGAATTGTAAGTTGTGAATAGTTCAGAGTCTGTGGTTCTTTGATAATCGGTTGACTCATTAAACGTACATGTGTAATTATTGTGAAATAAATCCCAAATGTAAGGTTGCAAAGCTCTGAAAAAACAAAACATCTAAAAATGAACACATTGATAAGTCGGAGTAAAAGTCAGTAAAATTAAGTTATTGTTATATTAGAATAAGAAAATGCCAGTGTAAAATATACAACTCAGTATTAGGGTAATCTAAGAAGATTCTACTAGGTTGCCTGAAAGAAAGGCAAAACGGATTCTGTTCTTCTTATAATCTCTACAGTGTGGTGTTTGGTGTTATGTTTGACGTCAGCCTTGTGTCTCATGAACTGCAACATAGTCCTTATACTGATGTTTCTACACAGGGATTTTTTAAAGTGAAGTAAAGTAAAGCACCCTTTTGCATGCCTTTAGCAGAATTGGGCATAGAGGACTAGATCTATATTTTATATACAAGGCACTTGGTGCGTGAAGTCAACAGGACGCGGGTGGACTTTACTTCCCAAGACTTTACTTCGTACCCATTTAAGGCTGAGTCGACCTGAGTGTCATTCCTTTAAAAAATTCCCATTTCTACAGGACCTGAAACCACGACGTATTTAAGAGCATTTCTTTTTTTTCCCCCAACGCTACTGCAATAGACACTTTGTTTGTAAGTACCGCCACATTTTATAAGACACGTTATATTCCGTACCAGCATTCTTTTTTCCTATTGGAAAAAAAAGCTGTTTCTGTATAACATGTTGCTAACCTATCTAGCAACCTCTGTAACTGGTCTCACCACGTCTCTCTTCTCCTCCAAAGTTCCTGTTGTCACGACGTACTACAGTTGTTCGCCCTTGTCATGACATGCCCAAAGAACGTTGACAGCGAAGTTCTACAGTGAACTCTTTTAGCACCTATCAACTAATTATACATTTCCTAATAACTCTTAACTACCGTTACATTTATACATTTCTCTTATCGTTTTCTTGTGTTACGCTTAGCCATTCTATCGTAGTTGTTAATTTAAATCCTTGTGTCATGTCACAGGAGAAGCGAACCCCGAATAATTAAGAGTGACTTACAACAGTACCAGGACAGCACAGCGAGCGAAAAACACCCGGCTACACAAAGTGCCAACATTCGGCTGAGAATACCAGGGTACAAGTCCCAGAAACCCAGTTCAACCGTTAGGTTATGTTAGGGACCCTGACTACAGACGGGTGGGGCTTTGAGATAATGAAATTTTGCCTCCGACATTTGGAGTCGTGTTTCAAAAACGCAGGAAAGTTCTTAGGCTAACACAGTCTGGTCTTATTGTATGAAATTTTTTAAGGTCCTTAATGTCTAGATTATTATCAATGCAATCAGACATTTGTGATGGAAACAATTAAAAAACAACGACATAATCGTACTAAATAAAAAACCATGACAAACTCACCCGGGGGTCTTTGATTCCAGAAAGGTCATAGTACACCTCCTTGGTGATCATGAAAGCTGCCAGGTTGGCCGTGTAGGAGGCCAGGAAAACCAGGGCGAACAGAGCCCAAATATTGGCCAGAAACCGACTAGCGATCCCTTTCGGAGAGTCCGTTTGGACGGAGGTGCTAAAGAGCATTGCCCAGATTAACCAGAAAGATCGGAACAGAGAAAAACGATGCTCTGGACATAGGGGGAAAAATTGTTAGATACAGTTATTTATACTTATGGTTCAGTAAGGCATACTGCATATATGCAATGCATTTTATTAGTTAGTTAGTTAGTCTTTCCTCTTGTGTCGAGTGCGGCACATAGGGCAGAGGTCGTGACTCTCCATGCACGGCGGTCCGTTGCAATCCGTTGTAGGTCTTGGATGTTTGAGTGGCCCATGAGCGAGCCTTCCCTGATGATAGTTCTACGTAGGGTTTCCCTTGGTCTTCCACGAGATCTTTTCCCCTGTGGTGTCCAAATGAGGGCTTGGTAAGGAAGTCTTGATTTATCCATTCTAAGGACGTGGCCGACATAGTTCCAGCGGCGTTTTCGTATAAAATTAGACACATACTCTTGCCTGGATTCTTGCCTTATTTGTGTATTGGTTCGGAAATCTGACCATTTGAAATTTAGTATTCTTCTAAGGCATTTATTTTCAAAACTGTCTAATTTTGTGTCTAGAGTTTTCGTTGATTTCCAACTCTCGCATCCATAGGTTAGTACTGGAATCACACAAGAATTGAAGATCTTGAGTTTTGTGTGTTTGCATTTTATATTTAAAAAAAAATTATTTCAGCTGCCATACATAACCAGCCCACAATGTAAAGTAAAGAAAAGATCCTTGTTCACGCCTTTAGGCGCATCGGGCATATGGGAAGAGCACCCATATTTTTTTCAGAACAATCGGCACTAGGTGGGAAATGTAGTCAGCATTACGCCTGCCGTCTTTACTTCCACCGGACATACATCCTGATACCTATTTTAGGCTGGGTCGACCTTGCGACTCCTCATCCCATGATAAAAATCCACGCAGCCATCAATGGGTTTTGATCGCGGTACATTGGAACTTCGAGTCGGACTCGCGACGCCTCAGCCACGGACGCCACTTACCCAGCCCACAATGAGTACCAAAAAATGTTACATTGAAAAAGGGTGACCGTTGTGATATTGCATAGATCATCAAGCGAATGTTGAAATTTGTCTGAATATTTTGACTTGTTTCAGTTATTCAGAAGGTAGTGAGTCTTGGATAAGAGATCTTTATCCGATCTTGTTTTCAGTCTGAACTAGATCATCTGGGTAAAGATTCGACCTTATAACATTCAGGACAAACCCGTATTAGCTCTGTCCCCCTTCTCAACAGCCACAGAAGAGTCTCCTTACTGATGGCACTCGTGTAATCTGCTTCCGTCTGAACATTTTCAATTACTAAGAGATGTATCCTGTTTCTTCTTCACATCGTTCACCGACCGTAAACTCTGGCTTGCTTGCTTGCTTGCTGTACCTCATTAGGACATCACACAAGCAATAAACACATGGTGACACAAAGTGCCATCAGGCGGATGAGGATCACCCGTGGAGAGATACGAGAAAATCATTCAAACCGGTATGGCCACATTGGTGGCCCAGCTATATTCAGGGCACCCGGCAAAAGCCAGAGTAGGGCTTCAAATAACGAAAAATTGCACCCCACAAGAGGATGACTAGGATAATATAAACTCTGGAGGAAAGTTCTGGTAGTCCTGCAGTCTCGGACTTTGGTCCTGATCGAGAGCTCGAGTTTTGCATGCACATTGGATATAAAGATTAGGCTTTGATGCAGACGGTTGGTTCCTTGCCTCTCAGGCAGAAGAACTCAGATATTAAAGGTCCTGCCCCTAATTAGTCGCCTCCTGCGACATGCTTGTTGAAGACGCCTACAATTTCAGTGGTTATAGATCAAAACAATTGCCTATCGACCAGAAGGTTTAGGCTTCAAGTTCAGATGTTTTTATGTGGGTTTTTAAATTACCGTAGTACCCGGGTCCACCCAGCTTGGAAAAGGCATATGGAAATATCATGGGAACTACAGGTAGCCAACGTTTTGCTGATCACGCGGTCCATCGACTGCTCGTAGGTCTATATATATATTGGTCTAGCACCTTACGAAAGATAAGTGTGAGAAAGCATTATGGTCTGTAAAGAGCCGTTTACTTTACTACTTATATGTATATATACACACACATTAACTAGTAGAAATCATAATATAATATTTCATGCCTAGCGATCAATGAAAAGTCAAGGATGAAGTTTATAGAATATGACATTCCAGCATACAGTTAGCACTGTGACGTGACATTCACTTAATCCAAATAAAATCATGCCACGGTTCCTATATACTTTTCCTAATTTTTTACAATTAAAATATTTATGCCTATTGTTTGTTGTGGATGATCTGCACTATAGCTAGTCTTTCCCTAGTACACGATTAATTTTATTCATCCCTGTTTGCTCACAGAAATTGTGTCTTGTACAATAATTCATTACAAAATGAAATTTGATTTTCCATGACTATTTTAATTTTAGAAAGACAACTGTATGTATTTTGTAACTACGCCACTTCTCATACTTTCTTTATCCTAAGAGGACACGCTTGTTTTAGACACATTTTCGCTGTCTATACATGTCGTTCTATTTACCTCCTCCTCTCTCACTTTCTCTCTGTACGTGTCTGTCGGCTACTCTATGTTCTTTTGTCTGCCTTTATCTGTCTCCATGTTTCTCTGTCGCTTCTTCATGACTTTGTCTCTGGCATTCCTTCTTTTCCTTGTTTCTTAATTTTCTCTGTGAATCTCCCTTTCTCTCCCCTCCTTGTTCCCCTGTCTGCCCCTCCTTCTGTCCCTCTTTTTTTATTTTTTGCGCTAACCCCCTGCCCCCCCCCCCCCGGCCTTTTCTCTTCGTGTACCTCCCTCCATTTATCCCTTTTTGTCTCTTGTTGTAACTCCTCTACCAACCCACTCTCTTTTCTACGTTTTGATTCAGAATGAGCACTGTAGCCCTGGTTCTAAACTGTGGATGGTAGGGGTTGATAAAGAAAACAGATCGACCAAGACTTATATACACGTAAGGAAATGCTTGAGGAAGTAAAGTCGGCAGACGTGATACTCATAACATTAACAGTCTAGAGGTGATTGTTCTATAAAATATAATTCCAGACTGTATGGATCTAGGTGCCTAATCTTTCATCATCGTCACCAACAAATAGCAGGTCCTTTGTAAAACTTCGCTCTCATCACAGCCTGCCTGCAAGAAAAACTGTCGCCAGCTCTCCTACTTCATGCACTTTCCTACCCAAGGTGTCACATCTTGTGCCCACCTTCGAGCTGGTAGGCCCCTGTCAAATTTTCCTGGCCTTATGCCTTCTCCACTATTCTTCTGACTCCGCCTGGCAATTATAAAGCCACATTTAAAATTTCTGAACGGTAATGTAATGCTCCACTGGTGTAAGCAGAGATCTCTTGATGGTACTTAGCTTTCCCTGAGATTCCTTTCCTTACGCGTTTGCTTTCCTGGCTGCTGTGTGATAGTGTAACCACTCTGATATTACGCAATCCGAATCTCGATGGCAAGCCAACCTATTACAGTTCCCAGATAGCCCGTTTAACCTTCAAATAAGTTTGAAATGAGGAAGCCGTGTAGAACACGGCCTATCACATACCGCGTACATAATGTGTTCATTGGAGTGTAAACAGGTTCAATGTTTTCCATGACTTGCCAAGTGATAATTTATAGGAGGGAATTTGAGGTTTTATGGGACATCACTGTGGTTCCTGAAAAAAATTACAATCAACAAACACTGTAAATGTGTGTGTGAGTGTGTGTGTGTGTGTGGGGCGGGGGGACGGGGGAGAAAGAGACCATTTGGAAACGAATTTGATCCAAAATTCTTGAAAATACCTGCGTTTGGTATTGATCGATGTCAGTTTAAAGTCGTGTAACAGAATAACTCTTCAAAATGCTGTCCTATTCTTGAGAATGTGTGAGTCAGCGTAATAAATGGTTAATGTAGTAGGGG